ATCAACTAATGGGGAACCGCCGTTGAAAGCCATGTATTACCTAAACGAGGGGGGGGGGGGGGAGCATACTTGGAGTAGAAAAGTATAGCAAAGTAGAAATTAGCCCAAAGTACTTAGAAATAGCTTAAAGTATTAAAACGTAAATTCAAGTACATCGAAGTACTTTCAATTACGTTTGGTACTTAGAAATACTTTCACGAATTTGAACACTTTAAGCTACTTTACAGTACTTTCGGCCACTTGAACTACTTTAGGCTACTTTGAACTCTTTTAAGCTACTTTAAAGTAGCGTGGAATAACTTCAAGTACAAAAGTCAGCGTTTTCCCTCCAGTACATACATCACATGCTTGTGCTGTTACATGTGATGACGTATCTTGTGAAAAAACTGGTCGTAATGCAGCACCAACTTGTGCTTGATATTGTTCAAGGATAAAATGACCTGGTAAATCAATATCTTCCTGTATATGTGCAAATTTTAATATAGTTTGTTTAAATAATGATAAATCCGATAAACGTTATTGATCACTTGTTGATGTACATGATATAAATGAAAATTTAATTAATGTATTTAAATGTATAACAAGATAATCTTCATTTGAATATATACGAAGACGTTCTTTAGAAGATATATAATCAAAATGTAAATTTGATAATGATGTTTGCTCAAAATAATTTATTAATTTTTGTACACAATCAGCTGCAAAGACTTTTGTTGGCCATTCAGCTGATGATGTTGCACGACGTATTGTATTTTGATTATTAGATGTATGTAATTCTTCATCACTACCTGTATCAGCATAATCATTATCATCATCATGAAGTCCAAAACTATCTTCATCATCATCGGTAGTAAGACGTGAAGATATTTTCGAATAAAAGGATGTTGCTGTTTTGTTGTTGAACCAGACGATTGTTGTTGTGGTTGCTGATTGGTTTCAGAAATTGTTCCCATACCAGATGTTTCCAGATGAAACAAACACAGAGAAAGATAGTTTTTGTATAGTTTTGAAATAAAAGAAGATTTCAATGAAATATACAAAAAAATGTCTTCTAAATAGGCAATGCTTAATTCATATGTGGGTAACTACAATGTCCAAATTATTGATCGATTGAAATTGTATTTAACGAGATCAGTTACTTTCCACTGAACGAAAAGTAAATATTTCATGAGTTTTTTTTTATAAGTCTTCTATTGATATGACTAGGGTGTGGGTGTGGGTGTTGCTATTCACTTAAATACTTCCCACACACCCACACCCACACCCACACCCACACCCACACCCACACCCACACCCACACCCTTATTTATTCATCAGAGCCAACAATTACATTAAAAAAATGGACGGATGCTTATCATTTTGCTAAATCGTCGAAGTTGGTATTACAAACACCATCGAGCCGAAAAGGTGTTATTGATTATTATATAGCAGCTGGTGAAGCGCAACACTTTACACAACATGATATTCAAAAATACAAGAAAAAAACCTGGAACTCCTTTGATCAATTCAAGATTCTTCAATTCGATATATGGAAAGTGACTTTATCTAATGATGAAACGAAATGGAAAAGTGGCACTTGTAATTGTCCAAACTTCTTCAAAGAATTTATTTGCAAACATGTCATTGGAATGGCTATTAGATTAAAGTTTTGTAAACCACCACCATCGGCCAAAGACATAGCTTTAGGGCAAAAAAGAAAACGAGGACGACCTCGAAAAGCTACAAAAGCTTTACTAACACAATAACTGAACAATTATAGTTTTTTACTTAGATATTTGTATTTCTTTACTTAGAGAAAAATATATACTTACTTAGACATGGTCAATATTTTACTTAGAAATTATCATATGTTTACTTAGAATTTAAATAAAAAACTTTGCAAAAATGATTTTTTTACTTAGAATTCTATTTTTGAAATTACTTAG